TTTGAAATGCATTAATGAAAAATGAACATTGCACTAAAACACTATCATACCAATTCATAGATTTAAGGTCCATTATAAGGTGTTTGATTCAACGGGTAAATGTTCAGTCATATTTTTCAATCGTCTTGCTTCTAATCTCATTGGCTTCTCAGCTGAGGAGCTGAAGGAAAAGTCAGCAAAGGTTTGAGTCCATGATTACACTAAATTTCCAACTCATTGGCTATATTCTACATTTCTCACTGGTTGTTTCCATTTCAGGAGAAAAAAAAAACAAGGTTCTTTTTCAGAAGAACTAAGCAATTGCGTGGGTCAAGAAATGCTTATCAAGCTGAAAATCAAGGAAAACAACATCAAGTTTCAAAACAGCAGTATTGGAGTAACCCAGTACACTACTGATAAGGAGTTGCTATATCAATTTACTTATTCTGACATTAAGGCATGAGGACAATTCTCCCTTTATGTCTTTCACCTAAATGTTTGAACCTAACATATTAAAACTACTCTGCACAATTATGTAGGGAAGCCAACTTAACGTAACTAATAATGTTACTTTTGAGCAGTCCACAGTTGAGTCTTCTGTCTCACAGCAACCAACAACGTCATCATCAAGTGGCATAGTGAGTCAGGGCGGTGACGCTCCAGTATCTCAGTTGCTTGCCTCTCCGGATTTATTGTCCAAACGTAAAAAATACACTACTGATTCCTCTATTGATGTTGATGAGATGAGACTGTCTAACCACTCAACTTCAAACTCCAGCTATATGAAGCTACTGAAGAACATTAAAAGGGAAGAGTGAAGTTCAAGACTGATTTCTCAGCCTTCAATTGACGCCATTGTCTATTAGTTATCTAATGGGATTATGACTTGTGGTTTAATAAGGTGTTATGTGTTTTGATTATGTATTGATGGATTTATGTTATTATGATTGAATTTCTCTTCCTAATTTAATTTAATAGTTTTAGGAGGAGTTGGAAAGCTAGATTGCATTTTGCTATCACTGATGAATTAAAATAACAAAATCACTAATAATTTAATTAAATATACACAATTAGATATTGTTCATATTTGTCTGATTTATATATCACTCAATAAATTAATTACCTTCTTACAAATTGTTACTATTACTATTACTCCTTCATCATCACAGTTCACCTAGATCTTTTTTAAATATATTAATTAATAATTAATAATTAATATAATAATTCGGCACTTAATAATTAATCAAAATAATCAATTATACTTAAATATAAATTATTTTTATAATAATTAATTATTCCTATTATCTATTATGATTATACAATCTATTTTAAGTGATTCTTGAGCTACCTAAAATACAATAATGCATTCTATTGTTATTTTAAATCTGTTAGATATACATGGAAGAAAAATTGTTATTTTTAAATAAACATGGCTGTATTTTTATGAATGATGATATTCACAAAGGCTAGTGATGATGTTAGATAGTCTTTTTGTTTTTTTAATACCAATAATAAGTTATTGTGAAATATTTATATATTTTCCTAATTATTGGTGCAAGACTTAATTAACTAATTTGAGTAGACTATATGCTTGTATTAATATAATAAATTTTTCCTAGAGCACCCTAATCTAATTATGCTTGTAGATTGCGGAGTCCTATTTACATTACATAATAAACAAGTTTAATTGAGCAATGCGTATATTTCCTTTTCAATCATTTTAAATGTCTAGAGGGGGAAGCTACGCAGAAGAAGACGATAAAACTTTTCTTTTACAAGCTCTAAAGGTAATAGCATATTGTCATCTTCAAGGAGTTGTTCATAGTCATCTAAAACCAGAGTTGTCACCTGAAGTGCTCCATAGCTCTTACAGTGTTGAAGTAGATTTATGGAGTATTGGGGTGATAATTACAGCAATTATTATGTATAAATTTAACCGATTGCAGCGTAACAGTCGAGTTCTTCCATTTGCATCTCGTCTGTTGCAGTGTAATAGCCAACTTAATCCGTTTGTTTTTGCACAAAGTGAACTGATACAAGGCATTAAATGACCCAATTAACAATCAATAATTGAAAGGCAAATAACACCACTGAGGAATGCAATGCAATTAGCATACTATCATGGGCTTTACCATCTTGCGTCCACACAGTTACCCTCTCTTTGCATCAGATTAACTTTTTGCTTATTACACACTCCACTGCCTTCATTTAGATTATCTCTACAGTGTTCCCACATTCGAAAGAACCCACATGGACAACACTGCATCTAGGGCCGACCTTCAAAGCTCTCAACAAGGCAAGTTTCCCTTTAGTTATGATGCTATATGTTAGTTGCTTTCTCTCTACCCCATTGCTAAAGCAAAATTATATTCATCAACAAAAGGATTCGTGACTCTATTTAACAGTTGAATGATAGTTCATGGAGTTTCCTTTAAAAATATAATATATATGTGTGTGTATATAGATGTAGATTGTGTATATACACATATGAACAACTAAAGTAATAGCTTAGAAAATATAATCTATGTTGCATCTCTTAATTATTGTAGTTGTCATTATCAAACTACATAGTTTTACTATTTATATAATTTTTTAACATTAGAAAATGCCACAAAATACCCTGTACAAACTGAGTGGTTTGATTAAAGGGTGATAAATTTTACTTATTCTGACATTAAGGCATGAGGACAATTCTCCCTTTATGTCTTTCACCTAAATGTTTTGTCATTATCAAACTACATAGTTTTACTATTTATATAATTTTTTAACATTAGAAAATGCCACAAAATACCCTATACAAACTGAGTGGTTTGATTAAAGGGTGATAAATTTTGCTCCAGTTAATGGTTCTAATCAACCAAATTTGTAACATAAAATCTGGAAAATTTTCCAGAATATGGCATTAAATGGTTTCTCATACGGCAAAGGAGTCAAGTGCTTAAATGAGATAACAATGAAGTTATGCATAGGTGTTATTATATTAAGGAACTATTATCCTAAGTAAATGATTGTTGTTGATGTTATAACTGCGATTTTTTGCATCATTATTGTACAAGATTGGATTGTTTGGTGCACATTATATTTGTCAAATAAGAACTAAGACTCCACATGCTAATAAAGATGGTACTTTAAAAGCTGGAAATATCTACATTACAGGGTGAAGGCAATATTAAAACACTTGAATGATTACATAGTACTTACAGATTCTAGAATGATGGGTTCAGTTCTGCATTTTGCTATATAGCAGATGTTGGTTGACTTCTCTTTATGGGTATTGCATAAAAATGTTAAGACTAAAGATACAATAAACCTGTTGTTTAATGCTTTTTAAGTAGTAACCGTATTCATATCTTGTGCTAATGATTGAAATAATTCAAAGACAGATCATACAAGTCATTATATACAAGACTCAATCTTGCACAAATCAAAGAAAAGCCGGTTTCAGGACACAACCAACGAAGATGCTACCGTCAATCCCATCCACGATCAGCATATCATAACAGGTACTTCCTCCTTCTCGAATAGATGTCTCATGTCATTAACTCCTATAGTGCCTGGGATAAAGTTAGTTGCGTAGAAATATAGCAACTTCATTTTCATAGTGATACTTGAAATCCAGGGGACAGAAGTGTTTCACCCCTAAGTTTTATAGCATAATTAATTTTATATTTTATATAATACGACAAAAGTCCAATTTCAGGTTCCAACTATGCCTCCAACATTTATTAATTTTGAAAAGAAATATACATATAAACTCTCTAGGAAAAAAAAGGGCTTATAGCAACGAGCACTTTCCACAACTTGGGTAAACCTTAGGTTTGATCCGATAATAAATAATATAGGGAAATAGACCTTGCATGGAATTAATTTGTGCGTATATATTTGATATTGATGAAAAAGAAATAAAAACATCCGTATATGATAAATTGAAAAAACAAATAGATGACGCAAATACCATTTATATAAAACCGGATGATAAGACTAGGTTACTATCATCTTTGAAATTGTAGTTCTTTTTTGGAAAAAAGAAAAAAAACAGAAAAGAAGAAAGAGTTACATTTCCTTAACTATCACACTGGAGAACTCAATGAAATGGCTGTTGTAATTGAGCTTTTATTTTGTGAGAAAAATTCTAAAAATAGCTACTAAATTTCAACATCTCAAATCATATATTTGACTATTCTTGAAAAACAAATGACAATATATTTTTGTAATAATTTTTATTTAGAATTTTGAAATTGAGATGATTTTTTTGGGATTTTTGCCCCTTATTTTTTCAATAGAAGAGGTGTTATGGCCTATTAACTACACTGTTCCTCCTTTTCCCTACCGAACGTGTTCTCATATGTGTTTGGCAAGGAGGAAGAAAGTTTCATGAAACATATATGTTTTCTTTTATCATTTATCAACACAAACAAAAGGTAGTGTATTGCCCCCCAATCAATAGGTAGTGTATGGTAATGATTCAACCAAGAGAAATAATTCGATGAAACCCCACCTTACACATAGGTACTAGTATAGAAGTTGCCCATCACGACACACAAACAACCAGTGCCACTGAATGCACCCAGCCTCATGTGTCGTGTACAGGCTACTTAGATGATGGTGACCCCATCTATGAGTGTCAATTTTGTCGGGCCTTACTTTGGCTAGGTGAGCGCCTTAAGCGTTGCTCTTCTTCTGAATACCCACGTTTCTCGATTTGTTGCTATCACGGCAAGGTTGTGGTGCCTTACCTCCAGAAGCCACCAGAACAATTCCGGCACCTTTTCTTCCAAAAAGGACATCCGAAATCTAAAAACTTCTTGGCAAACATCAGAGCATACAATAATATGTTCTGCTTCACTTCCATGGGAGGAAAGATTGACCATTCCCTCAACTCCCATGGAGGCCACCCCTACTCCTTCACCATGTCCGGACAAAACTATCATCTCTTGGGAAGCTTATTGCCACCTGAAGGATGCCCCCCTGTGTACTCGCAACTGTATATTTACGACACAGACAATGAAATAGGGAACTGAATGGCAGCGATCAGGTGCGTCCCCCTCATGCTACTTACATCCTCCATCACCATGTTCCCTCTACAACACAGCTCAAAATAAACCACTTGGCTTTGAATTGCAGGCACCATCCAGACAAATCGGCTGTTGATGAAGCCATTGCTCTCGACATTAAAGATTGCCTCGATCAGCATAACGCCCTGGTCAAGAAATACCGTATGGCATCGGAGATCCTTCGCAAAGACAACACTGTCGATGTTCGGATACGGCTCCTCAAAGAATCAAACGATAGGAGCAGAAATTATGAGCTGCCCATGGCGTCGGAGGTAGCCGCGTTGATAGTCGGAGATTTTGATGAATCATATGTCAACAGAGACATAATCATAGAAAAGAAAGTAGGCTCCTTGAAGCGCGTCCATGAACTACACAAGTCTTACTTGCCTCTTCAATATCCCCTCATCTTCCACTACGGCAATAACGGATTCGTACCAAAGACGGAACATAACGACGCATCTCTTATTAGCACAAAGAAGAAAAAGTACCTCACAATACGGGAGTACCTCGCTTTCATACTGATGGACAGAAATATAGAGGACTCCGTGTTACTACACTCAAAAAGGTTATTACAGCAATTCATTATAGACGGCTTTGCAATGGTCGAGAGTGAGAGGCTTGACTATATAAGGAGACACCAGAGAGAGCTCAGGGTTGACCTATACAAAGGACTCGCTGATGCAGTCACAAGAGGCGAAACAGATCCGTCCAACACAGGAAAGAGGATAATCCTACCTTCTTCTTTCACTGGAGGTGCTAGATACATGATCCACAACTACCGAGATGCAATGGCCATATGCAGATAGGCAGGATACCCCGACATCTTCCTAACATTCACTTGCAATCCCGCATGGCCTGAGATAACAAGATTCTGCCAGAAACACAACCTCAGCCCATCTGATCAACCCAACATTTTGACAAGGATGTTCAGCCTCAAACTAATAACACTGATGAGATGTATAAAGGACAAAAAAATATTCGGCACAATCAGAGCAGGTAATAATACAACCTCCCTTTAATCACCTCTCCATAAAGTACGGGGGACATACATACTCCATTTCCAAAGACCGTCTAACACAATATACCACCCTCTAACAGATACAAAAACTATAGTTAAATTATCACATTTACTTCTGTAACTTCAAAATACACCACTGTTGTATGTTGATATGCAAAATTTCAGAGATATATACGATAGAGTTCTAAAAGCGGGGGCTGCCACACGCACACATCATTCTATTCATAGAGCCCTGTGACAAACCCAAGACAGCTGAGGACGTTGACAGAATCATCTCAGCAGAGATACCAGACAAAGACACAGACCCTGTACTGTACGAGCTCGTCACCAATTTCATGATCCATGGACCCTGTGGCAGCTCTAATCAGAAATCACCTTGCATGAAGGACGGAAAGTGCTCAAAGTACTTCCCCAGAAGATATGCGGCACACACAACAATAGACGATGAGGGGTACCCCACATATTGCAGGAGGAATAATGGCAGAACGACTATGAAAAAAGGGATTTAGTTGGACAACAGATATGTCGTGCCGTACAACGCTCAACTGTTATGGCTCTTCCAAGGCCACTTGAATGTTGAGAAGACAAACCAATCAAGGGCCATCAAATATTTGTTCAAATACATCAGCAAGGGCCATGACCGTGTCATCGCAAGGATCTACCACAACGATGAGCCCAGCAGCTCACAACGTGATTTCGATGAGATCTCACATTACCTTAATTGCCGATACATCTCGGCCTGCGAAGGCGCATGGCGAATATTCTCATTTGACATTCACCGCAGATACCCCTCTGTCGAGAGGTTGAGCTTCCATCTCCCAGATCAGCAGGCTGTTTTTTACACGGCCAATGACGAAATGCCTTCACTGGTTGAAAGGCCCCGGGTGAAGGAGTCAATGTTTCTCGGATGGCTCGCCAAGAATAAAGAAGACTCATTCGCAAGGACCTTAACATATACCGAGTTTCCACAGTATTACACTTTCAATAAGCAAAAGAGGGAATGGAGGATGCGCCAGAGAGGATTCTCTGTTAGCAGATTAGCTCATGTATCACCATCACAAGGTGAGGCTTACTACCTCCAGGTCCTGCTAACTAAGATGAGAGGGCCTCTCAGCTACAGAGACATCAGGACAGTAGACAACGTCGTCCAACCAACATTTAGGGCTGTGTGCTACGCGCTGGGGTTGCTTCAGGATGATCAAGAGTACATCGACGCAGTAAAAGAGGCAGCCTTTTGGGCTACAGGTCAGTACCTCAGGAGATTCTTCGTCAGCATGCTCTTATGCCATTGCTTGTCTAACCCCATTTTAGTCTGGGAGCAAACAAAGCATCTCATATGTGAAGACCTTCTGTACATACCACGGCACGACCCACGGCATCAAGGTAGAATAGACATCACCTAAACTATGTTTCACTCACACAACATTCTGGACATATAATGCGCACCCTGCACCGACACCACGTCGTCACCCCCATTAGTGACATCTGTTGATGTTACACGTTCCGGGCAATGACATCTCTTACTTTTTTTGACCTGCAGAAATATCAATCACCAACTTAGATAGGGAGGAAGCTGGACTGATTGAGATTTAAAGGCTGCTCCTAAAGAATGGCAGGTCACTGGACGACTACCCATCACTGCCAAAACCAAGCTCTACCGAATTCTTGGACACAACAAACAATTTGCTACTCCAGGAACTTAGCCATGACAAAGATGCTTGTGCCGCGGATGCCGCAAGGTTGGTAGCCTCACTGACAAATGAGCAAATAAAGATATTCCACGAGGTCCTCAATGCGGTCAGCCGGACAACCGATGGGTTCTACTTCGTCTACAGTTACGGGGGCACTGGCAAGACCTTTCTCTGGAATGCCTTGACCGCGGCAGTACGAGCAAATGGAGATGTGGTCATCAACGTCGCATCGAGCGGAATAGCAGCGACTCTACTGCCCCCAGGAAGGACTGCTCATTCGAGATTCGCAATCCCCATTGACATAAATGAAGACTCCACATGTAACATTAGCCACGGTTCCCCTGTGTCTCACTTACTACGGTCTGCAAAATTAATCATCTGGGATGAGGCACCAATGATAAAACGGCACTGTGTGGAGGCTGTCGATTGAACGTTAAAGGATATAATGAGGTGCGACCTCCCATTCGGCGGCAAATGAGTCGTCATGGGGGGAGATTTTAGGCAGATATTGCCTGTCATACCGAAGGGATTCCGTGCAGACATTATAGACGCCGCTATAAACTCATCCGTTCTTTGGTCGGTGTGCAAGCTGTTCCAGCTCACTAAAAACATGCGCCTACAGACGGCATTAGAGGCAATAGACCAAAAAAAGATCAGTAAATTTTCCAAATGGTTGCTTGACGTTGGTGATGGTATAATTGGACTACCCCATAAGGGCACGACGGACATTGTGTTGGAAATTGTGCCCTAGGGGCCAATCATTCTGTTTTGGACATTGTTAATTTATGAATTTATTAATTAAGTTATCATATTATTTGCATGTTTACTGTGATGACTATCCTTGGATAACTCATGGTTTATCCTAAATGTCCCTGGTCGGTCATCTATGTGGGAGCAAAGATGAAATAAGACCAGTATGACTTTAAAGATATATAGAGATATAAATTAAAGTCATAGGCACATGTAAGAGTACAAGGTGTTGGACCGACCCGCTATGAGAGAGCTGCATGGGTTAAGTCATAAGCTTCTCTCATATACAAACCACGTCACTATGCCCTTTGACCTGAGATCATCATGGATTCCTACATCAGAAACGCTTAGCTTTGACCTAGTCAAAAGTCACTTTTGACCGAGTGATCATAAAGACTATGTTCAGGCTTAGTGGTTTTTCATGCGGAGGAATGTGAATGGTCAAGATGGAATTTGTCCCTCACATTCGTAGAGAGACATTACTGGGCCCCTCGATGAGTGAGTCTGAGAAATGTATGGCCATACTATAATGGAAAAGTAGTTCCGTTTCTATACTCAGACTACTCAGGGATCGAGAAAGTAACGGTCATGAATAGGAGGATGACGTTCTCCATGCCTCATCCATGACCAAAATGTCGTGTGACAAAAGGGACGTGATATGGTTGTATGAAAGGTTGCATCGTTCAATGATCCTCATATGTTTTGGGTAGTCGTGATGTCTTGTTAGAGACCGCTTACGACTTGTGAGTCATTATAGTTAATAGCCCACTGCCAACTTCATATGGGCCTACAGGGTCGCACACAAAATAGCCCAACACGAGTTATGATGTCCAGATTCATTGAATCTAAGATATGTCCAGATTCAATGAATAAATAGGGTGGACGTGTATATATATATATATAAATTCGTATATATATATATATAAATATAAGAGATATTAATTTATAAGGATAAATTAAATATATAAATTCCGTCATCTCTTTATTAAATAAATAAGTGAATTAAATCTGTGAGACGGATTTAATTTAAACCATATTTATTTAATTGTTCTCTTATCTGATTAGGCAATATTTGATATTGTATTAATTTCGGAATTAATTTAGAGTTAATTTCGAAATTAAATATTATTAATTAAACCTATATAGCATCCTATATATTTGATATGAGGAGCTAGGGTTTAAGAGTGAGAGAACTGACAGATAAGAGACGGCCTAAGAGAGGAGAGAGGACGGATTTCGAAAACCCTAGACGGACATAGGCGCTAGCACGCCGTTCGAGGTTGAGGGCTACTCGTGTGGATACCAGTAGAGGAAGCCGACCGGAGTTGTCGACTTCGAACGACAAAGGAGGCGAGCAGAAGCATCCTGAACGGCCGAATCATCGAGTCACCAGGAAATCGAACACCGAAGGTAATGCTTCTTACTACCTAACTTAAACGCGATCGGTAGATCCGGGCAAGGGGTTGAAAGTCTTAAAATTTCGAGTTGTTTTTCCGCTGCGCGTCGTCTTTCAATTCCCTTCACATTGAGATCCCGATCGATTTCCTCATCACAGACTCCCTTGACCCTATCCACTCTATAGTCTCATCCACATATCCAGCACTCCACCAAAACATCATGCATCCAAACTACCTCACAGAAAGGGCGATTTTGGCCCCCACAACCGATGTCATCGACCAGATAAACGATTACATGCTGTCACTCCTCCCCGGAGACTCCGTTCAGTATCTCAGCTCTGACTCTGTCTCTAGCACCGATCAGGATAGCAGCTCATTCCAGGATTTGTACTCCACAGAATTCCTCAACACCATAAACTGCTCCGGGATGCCGCCGCACAAGCTCTCTTTGAAGGTTGGAATACCAGTCATGCTGTTGCGAAATATCGACCAGTCTGCAGGCCTATGCAATGGAACAAGGCTGAGGATCACATATCTGGGCAAGAACTTCATCAGGGCGGTCACATTAAACGGAACGAGCACAGGTGATCAGGTCCTCATCCACCGCATGGACATGAATCCGTCAGAGACCACCCTCCCGTTCAGAATGACCAGACGACAGTTCCCGTTCATAATCTCTTTTGCGATGACCATCAACAAGAGCCAGGGCCATTCATTAACAAACGTCGGTTTGTACCTGCCCAGGCCGGTGTTCACACATAGACAGCTATATGTTGCATTGTCAAGGGTCAGGAATGTGGACGGTCTCAAAATATTGATCCTCGATTCTGACAGTAAACCCACGAACGTTACTAGAAATGTTGTCTACAGGGAAGTCTTCCAGAATGTGCATTTGGAGTGACCTCATTCTCATTGTCATGGACCGACTACAGTCTTCGCACTATTACTATGAGGACTTCCTTCAACAGTACTTCACAGTTCATCTCCTTTGTCAGTCTTGAATTAATCAAATAGAATAATGCATACTTAACAAAGAGCTTCTATAAAGAATAGTTGCACACGTGAAAGATTCTATCGGGGCGTCTTCCACCAACGTTACTTGTGGTGTGGCTTCTTGGGAGGTCTTTCAGAATGTCCTTTCCAGGTGACCGAATCATCCATTTCACGAACAGCCTTTCAACTTTGTAGTATCAATATGACAGCTGCCATTATTATGCCACGTCAAGAACTCTATGACTCTGCGATTAACTTACATGCATAGCAACCATCCGTGCAGCGCACGGGGAGAAAATCCTAGTTTTGTGAGAACCCTTGAACCAATGCTAAAAGCTGATTCGCTAGCAACTGTAGTAATTGGAATACTAAGAATATCACATGCCATCTTTGAAAGGCATGGAAACCTAGCTGCATTAGTCCTCCAATATTCCAAAACATTAAATTTCACAAACAAGTTAGGATCAAGGGGCACTTCTTCCAAATAATATGATGTGGCATCTTTGCTCTTACATTTAAGATATTTCTGCAGTATTAATCATTAAAATAAAGAATTAGTAAAAGCTAAATAATGAAAAGGGACAGCAAAAAAGACATTTAAGTCATAAGTATTGAAGAATTTCAAACCCACCCTAAAAGCTTTCAAGTAGGTGGTGCCTTCATCATCACTATCATGAGAGGTAGAGTCAGAAGGTGGTACTGCCATCTCAGTTCTCACATTGAGATTAGAAGTTGAACTTGATTCTCCAACAAAAGGGACCGAAGATGAAGTTGATGATCCCATATTTCTATAATAATTGAAAACATAGTATAACTTGCTCCTAATGTTTTCAACCTTATCATTATAATTGATGGGATCAAGATTTGAGTAAGAAAACTTTATGACATCAAACTTCATCCGTGGGTCAAGAACAATCACTAGAGAAAGAATTACACTATAATCACTCCAATATTTGTCAAACTTCTCAACCATTCTCACAGCCATATCCCGAATCACTGGATCTTCATCATCCAAATGTGATTTTAACATTAACTCAATTGTAAATATCTGCATGAAATACATGTTAGCAGTGGGATATGATGAGCCAGAAATCATGTCTGTTATCACCGCAAAAGGCTCTATGAATGTGCACATCTTTTCTGCTCTAGACCACTCTTCATTTGTTGGACAATAGTGGTAATGGGTGTCATGAAAAGCTAAATTAACAAAAGCACAACGATATCTAATAGCACTTTCAAGCATTGTGTATGTTGAATTCCATCTAGTCGGTACATCTAGCCTCAAACCCATTGAAGTTTCAATACCCCCAACATTGTCACAACATTTCTTGAAATTAATGAACCTTGCCTGTGATTGCTTTACATATCTAATGCTCCTTGATTTTATGCATAGCATCACTTGTTACTTTCAAGCCCTCCTACACTATGAGATTCAAGATATGGGCACAACATCTCACATGGAAAAACTCTCCATTGCAGATCAAGCTATTGGTCAGATTCAATTGTTCTTTCAGCAAATTTTGCATATTATCATTTGCTGAAGCATTATCCAAAGTAATAGAAAATACCTTTTTATCAATCCCCCAATCCCTCAATATATCATGTGTCCTTTTAGCCAATTCAATCCCAAAATGAGGAGGATCCATCTTAGAGAATGCAAGGATTTTGCTATTAAGCTTCCATTTATCATCAACAAAATGAGCAGTCAAACAAAGATATCCTTCACCAGTTATAGAAGTCCAACAATCAGAAGTCAAACACACTCTACAAAGACTGTTTGCTAATGTTTTCTTTAGGATCTCTTTTTGACTAAGAAATTCCAAACATCCACCACAACAGTTTTTCTAGTAATGTTCTTGTAATCAGGATTTAAATATGAAAGTAAATCCTTAATTGCATCATACTCAACAAAGGAATATGGAAGATCATGCTTAATAATAGCAAAAGCAATCTTATCCCGGACCTTGTTATGATCAATTTGTCTAGCCCTCACATTCCCTGCTTGATCTATCATCATGGCACCAATGTTCTTATATTTTGGAAGAGACACACATACATTAACATGACGCCAGAGAGTTGAAGTCCCATAATCCTTACCACCAACTAAATACACTTTTCCACACCCATTACATGTAGCCTTTTCTTTGCCATCTATAATACTTTTAGTAAAAACCTTCCAAACCTCAGATGTCGTTTTTTTAGCCCTTTTATTTGATTCAGGCATAGAAGACACGGGTGGAGCAGATTCATCTTGAATAGTATTACTTTCAGCAGCATTGTCAACATACTTTCTTTTATGTGCCTCATCACCCATTTTGGTTTAACTATGTATACTGCAAAAGATATTCCATATTTCCATTCAACAATTACACAAACAAGAAAACATTGAAAAAAAAATTAAATTCTACTAATCTATTTCAATCAGATCCAAACCGCCCAAACATAACTAAAAAAATTGAAATTTAACTGAAGAAAGAATAATCAATCTATCAATCCAGTATTCCAGTCACAATCTCAGCCTTAACAAGTGTTAAATTAATGACTTAATCAATCCAGTATTCCAATGAATTAGCAAATTACCGAGAGGCCGAGAGGGAGAGGAGGAGACACTGCACAGAACAGGCGAGTAGTCACCGACGGAGCAGGAGGGAGACTTGGAGCAATGGAGCTCGAAGAACCCAGACTGGAGCTCGACGACGATGAAGAAGGGAGACGGACTCAAGCGACGCGAACGCCGAACGCGATCTCTGTCTCTGCCTCTGACCTGCGAGTGAGAGTGCGAGACCAGCTACCAACTCCAAGAGCCCCTAGTCGCTGTCGGTAGTCGCCAGAGATGAGAGTGAGTGAGATTGAGGTTGAGGATTTGAGTTCAAGACTTGAGAGAAGGGTGTCTGTGTGAGATGAGAGCCTACTATCTCGGTCTCTCGGACTCTGCCTCTGCGTGACCGGTGACAGTGCCGTGAGGTGAGGGTGAGCCGTGGCTGTGAGAGCCTAAGCGAGAGGCCGTGACTCCGTGAGCGGTGATGTTCGGACCGTCAGAGGGACTGAGGGAGTGAGAGTCAGGCACAGTCAGCGAGTGTCGCACTGAGACTCTAAGAGTGAAGACTGACTGTGAGTCCGTGAGTCCGTGATTGAGTCTGAGTGTTGGGGTCCTTGCCTCCTTGGGGAGTGACTGAGAGCCGAGAGGTGAGAGGAGGGAGTGACTGAGTGATGGAGCGCTGACGCCGCCGAGCGCCTGAGCGAGTGAGGCGAGGGACGGGGGGGAGTCGTCGGGGACGATTGGCCGAGTACTCGAGTGATGAGTGGTCAGCTGCTGAAACTGGAATGGAAGGCCGGAAGGGTAAGGGACTTAGGGTTATGACTTGCGGTCTTGGCGTCTTGCAGATTAGTGTCTTAGTGACTTTGGTGGACTGTGGACTGGAGTCAGGACTCAGGAGTCTCGGAGGGAAAACCAAAAAAGGAGAAAATATAAAATTTTAAAAAAATATTATGGCGAGTTATACGGGCCAGCCCGCCAACCCACGGGCTAACCCGTTTTAACCCGCGGGTTAAACGGTCCGAGCTGCTGTAACCCGTTTTTCGGTGGGCTGGAAAAAAACCAACCCTAACCCGCCTCTTTAGAGTGGGTTGGCGGGCTGGCCCGCGGGTCACAACCCATATTACCGGCTCTAATGAGGACAAATAATCATACTACAATCATCCGCATGCTCAATTGCAAACTTAACAAAATGTTCTACCCCATCCCAATATCCCTTTAAGAGATGATTGGCAAACTTGTAATTCTAGTTGTTATTATTAACAACTAGTAATTAAAAAAATTCACTCATGTGTCATTCCATTCTTTAAAAATTTAACAGCATGACGACTTAAAAATGAGCATTTTTAAGGCTTTATGCCCCCTATTTGACTTTAACCAAACTTTAAACAGCAAACTAGCAGCAAGGCCATTTCAATAACCACATCCTAACTGTCATTCAATAATCTGGAAAAAAAATAACATCTCAAGTAACATTTAATTATTCAAACTACTAGGAATAATGTTTCAGTAGAAACAAAATAATGCCATTCAACTAGAAATCAAAACCTAAATAAGTTTTAAGAATTACCTCACAAAAGATCTAGGAGTACAGGCAATAAGCTTCAAACTTTAATTACAAAAACAAAAAACATAGTGAATGTTAAAAATGGAGGGAGATCCCATTCAATGATTAAGACAGTTTTAATTTTGACAGATTAAGACCGTGCATACCTTAGTTTAAAAAAACAAACACAAATAAAATAAAATACATGATAATCCAATCTTTCAAATGATCAAATTATGTTTGAGTTCAAGGATAGTCTACTTTACCAAAATAGCTAGAGACCCAGGTATAAATGTCCTAAGTTTCATATGTTTCAAATATAAATTCTACAAATTTTGCAAGGAATTTGTGGGAGTTCAATGATGCTTGCCTTGTCATCCTTGATAACATTTTATAGCTCAGAAAGCATTAATTCTAAAAAGAAAAAAAAAGCCTCAAAGTGAACTAAGAATGAAATTGGAGAATTGATATTCTATATCACGGAAAAAAAGGTGGCTTAATTAGAGCTGTTCCATTTAAAGAATGATTCCTCTCTCTCTATCTCTCTCTCACACACACTTCCCCAACTATCACATCTGTAAAAGTCTTTAGTTCTATGGCTCTAACAAATGAATAGCAATGATGTGTTAATGTGATTAGGGTCATGTGACATCAAGAAAGATGAAAGGGAAAGGTTGATCAAGCAACTTTGATGGTTAGAAGCAAAATGAGCAAAAAGAAAGATTGAATGTAAAAGGCTAAAGATAGCAGACTTTACTCTACTCTTATGTGCATGATATTTGCTTGCATGTATGGCATGCTTGTATGTTTATGTGATTTTATTAAC